TTTTCAAACATAGGATACAATCCCAGGAATGGAATTAGGCATGTTTACGCATGTTTTACATTTAAACACAGGACAGGCACTTTTTAATACTTTTATTTAATTTATTGGGAATTTAGTGGGAGAAATTGGTGACATGATGCAGTCACTTAACGTATAGAGACTAGATTTATAGCAAGTCCTTCCAAGGGTCTAAGCCTTCAAAATAATGTGATTGGTAGGGACATAAGCCTCCAAAATGTTCATAATGCCAAGGGAATCTGCATTCACATGTCTGTGAGTACCCGAGTTTGTTTACAGCTCCAATTTGTTTATCAGCAGTAGTTCAACTTTTGGAAACTTGTGTGCGTTTGGTATCTCCTGACTCTTGCATTAAATTTCAGGATGGTCAGATCGCTGATGCAGAAAGGGGGCACAGGCTAAGAGTCGACAATGAAGTACAATTTGAGTCTGTCTTCAAACTAATTTTAAAAATCAAAATGAACATGCCATGGTAATGGATTTATGACAATGACCCATGTACTCCCTATTGTACTAATGCTACAATAATTTGCAGACTTAACATATATTTATGAATATAAGTTTAATATTAGATGCAATTACCAGTAATCACAGAAAACTGAAATAAATTAGTTATTTTTTAATATCGATTCCAGCCCTATTAAGAGTATAAAATATGAGATATTGCATTGGAAAGTTTGTAAGTAAATTTGATGTGATGGTTTTAAGGACAAAGATAATAAACATTTTGAAGACAAATGATCAAAGCTAGAGGGTTTAGTTGTTATTTATATATAAGAACAACAAAAACTAAAATTATCCATCTGCATGAAAATGGAGCATCTACCGAGAATATTAAATACTCCCAAAGTTCCATACTACAATATATGAACAAAAGTATTGGGACAACTGGCCACTGCACCTGTAAGAATTTTTATGACATCACATTCTAAATCCATAAGCATCAATATAGATATGCATACCAAGACATTTTGTACAATTCTATGCTTCCAGCTGTGTGAACAGTTTGAAGGCCCTTTTATATTCCTGCATGACAGTGCCCCAGTCCACAAAGCAAGGTCTATAAAGACATGGTTGGGTGGCATTGCTGTACAAGAACTTGACTAACTGACACACAGAACCATGACCTGAACCCCACCAGACACCATGGAATGAACTTGAGCAGAGATTGTGAGCCAGACCTTCACATCTGACATCAGTGCCTGACCTCACAAATGCTTTTCTGATTGAATGGGCAAAAATTCCCACAGACACACTCTAAAATCTTGTGGAAAGCCTTACCAGAAGAGTGGCAGCTGTTATAGCTGCAAAGGAGGAATCAACTCCATATTTATATCTATAGAATAGGATGGTATTTCATAAAAGCTGCTGTAGGTGTAAAGGCCAGGTGTCCCAGTATACCTTTGTCCATACAGTTACCAAATATCACTGATCAAAGTTTCAATAATACCATTAAACTCGAGGTGAATCAAGTATTTAAATATGTAAAAACGTATAAAGAAAAAAATAAGCAACTTTTCAAAAATTTATCATAATGCTACTTGAAAAGCATTAAAACACAGGGCTTTTTGAGAAACCATTTCTGATGTTTTGTGATGTTTTGGAGGAGGAAAATTATTCCTGATATATACTAAAACATTGTACAACGTTTACTGTTCCTTTGTTTTTTATGCTTTTCAAATTGCGACTTCCTGCAAATACACTTCGACATCATGTTTCTCTTTCATATTTTGTAAATACGAAATCCATACAATATACATATACACATGCATATAAACAACGTACATCTTACGTAGTTATAAAATACGGCTTTAAAAATGAAAAAAAAAACGCCAATAACATAACATATAAATTTGTAGTCGTCTGCTTTTAGCACGAACCGAAGACCTCAACAAAATCCAGCACAGATGATTTATTTTAAGCCGAAACATGACAGTGCCCCAGTCCACAAAGCAAGGTCTATAAAGATTGGGAATAGTGTATATTACTTGCTTGCTTTAACACAAGATTAAAACATAAACTTACCGAGTATTTATTATTCACGTCAATCGGTTGCCACCGGATATCTTAAGGCTGTTTGCCACAAACCACACTTGAATGTGGATGAAGCATGTCACTTCCTAGTTTCATGCAATCACTCAACGTTTTCAGTTTGTTCAGTGGGCGTATAAAGTCAACACAGAAGCTCTCTTTTGTCATAAAGTCAACTAGGAATAATAATCTCTCGATATTATTAAGTATTGAAATAAGCTGTGCAAATGTTACACCTTCCAGTAAAGGTCAATAATAAGAAATATTGTAATTGCCAGTCAGCGTGTTATTATCCTACAATACTGTAGCCCTGCGTGCAATTGTAAATAGCCCTTGTTGTATTGTTGTTGTTGCTGTTCATGTTAAGGGTTGCATTTCCTATTGTCGCGCGTGTGTTTGCCCGTGTCTTGTGTGTACCCGTGGCCTGTACTACGAAGCGGGGTTACTGGATTATCGGGGTAACTTGTCGGATTTAAGGTACCACAGTTTAAATGGACTTAATATATTCGCTCACTTACATTTTGCCCAGACTACCTTAAATCCGACAATTTACAACGTCAAAGCACGTTGGTAAAGTTAGTTTGCGGTTCGTTTTTCACGTTGCAAACGGCCATAAAAACCTTATATATGCACGAAAAAATACGAATTATGGCTCCTTGTGATAGTCCTGTTGTGTGAATTCAGAAAATATAAATACATTGCGTAAAACAGCCTTTAATGTATTTTGACCAGTTATTTTCATTAGCTTCTCACGTCAAAA